TTGTTAGTAAAGAATCCTTCTTTTTTTCTAAATTTTTTCCATTCGAATCGAAGATACCCATCTTTGAGAAAAATAGACATTTAAGATTAATTTTGAGAAATAACGCCAATTTTACAAGTTTTTTTAAATAATACTTACTTTATTATGAAAGTACGTGAAAAAAGCTTTCCAAATCACTACTTTTTTGTTCAAATCGGAATATTGTAAGACAAGTTATGTATCTTACAAAGTACATCTGATGGTTGGAGTGGACAAAATTCAAGCCCCTGTAACTTGGCAACCCGTTGCACTAGCTCAACAAAATTTTAACAGAAACTTTGTTGTTGGTAGGACTATTGATTATAAAAATTTTAAAGTGATTGGAAAACTTTCCTATTTTCAGGCTGGTTGAGTTCATGTGGAATGCCCTTTTTATATGTATTTCTTAATATGTATTTTTATATTGAGTTTTTATATATGTATTTTATACTTTTACTTATACTTGCACTTATACTTATACTTATATCTATACTTAAACTTTTATGTATGTATTGAGTTTTATGTATGTGTTTATGATTAACTCTCTCGAGACTGTTTTTGCTATTTTAATGCTTTATTTGATACGAATTGTATGCTCACAAAAATGCTTACAAAAGAAATGCTTTCTATCTTTCGGCCTGCTCCCGAACACACACGAAAGGATCCGATCCCCCTCTCTGGCCGTATTAATCTTACGAAACTCAAAAGTGCGGCGCTACGGTATAGCGGAGATAACGTACAACGAACATAAAGCTTTTACATTCCGCCCCCCTTGAAAGGGCATCTTTCAATAAAACAGTATGTTATTTTAACACTTGCTACAATAAACTCATAATAATGAATAATAAAGTTATAACCTAAGGATAGAAATCTTAACTTAACTAACAATCTTGATATAATAGATAAACTTATGTGTTAGAGTCTCTAGTTTTTATAAGGAAGTGCACATATCTTCTTAACGGCACGCTTGAAACTTCCTGTTGACGTTCGGATAGTTGCTACTCTTACAACTCCGTCCTCTCCAGGATGCAGCGCTTCTATTCGTCCTAGCTTCCACTGCATCGGCGGTAGATTTTCTTCGATTAACAGAACCAAGTCTCTGACTTGTACCGCGTCATCACCTTCTTTCCATTTGGTCCTGACTTGTAGTTGCTGTAAGTACTCCTTATGCCAGCGCTGCCAGTAATGCTGGCGTAACTTTTGGATATGCTGCCAGCGAGATAAATGAGTATCCTTGACATCTAATAGATTTTTTTCAACAGGCATTATTAAGGCTCCTCCCATTAGGAAATGGGCTGGTGTAAGTGGTGTTAGGTCGTTGGGATCTGACGACAGGGTTGTCAGTGGCCTGCTATTCAGAATGCCTTCTATTTCGACCAGTAAAGTATAATATTCTTCAAAAGTATAAATCAAATTCTTCATAGTGATTCGTAGATACCGTTTGACGCTTTTAACGGCAGCTTCCCAAAGCCCTCCGAAGTGTGGTGATCGGGGAGGTATAAAGTGCCACTTTATATTTTGTGCGGCCAATCTGGTAGCGATGCAAGTCTCCTGAGCCTTGAGAAACTCATAGATTTCTTTAAGTTCGTTGGCAGCACCTACTAGGGTAGTGCCATTATCGGAATACATGTGGATACACGTTCTCCTTCTTGCACAAAAGCGTCGAAAGGTTGACAAGAAAGCCTCCGTAGTTAGGCTGCTAACTAATTCAAGATGCACAGCCTTTGTTTTGAAACAAACGAAAACTGCTGCGTAGGCTTTGCTGACAGGAATGTTACCTCTTCTCTTGCTTTCTCGAAGGTTAAATGGACCTGCGTAATCAATTCCGCAGATGCTAAATGGTTTAGTATCGGTAGTAACCCTCGATGCTGGTAGATCTGCCATCTTCAGTTTAGGAATGCTTGGTCGGTATCTAAAGCACGATATGCATCGTCTCACAGTCTTTCTGGCTTCTCGTCTTCCTGAAAGAGGCCAATATCGCGTTCTGACTTCTGCTAACAGTTGCTGAGGCCCACAGTGATGTAATTTAACATGCTCTTATCTTAGTAAAATTTCTGTGATGTGATGTCTCGCTGGTAAAGCTATCGGGTGTCTCTGATCGTATGGGATGTCTGCGCGTTTTAGTCTGCCCCCTACTCTGATGACTCCTTCTTCATCTAAAAAAGGGTTGACCGCTGCTAATTGACTATTAGCAGGTACTCCTTTTCCCTGCTGTAAAGAACACAACTCCTGCGGAAACTGCTCAACCTGCACCATGTGGCTGATAACTAGTTCTGCTCTCTTAAGTTCTTCAGGTTTTAAGGCATCAAAATGGCGTTGACTTGATAGAATATCCCTGAATCGCAAACAATATGCTATGACCCTCTTGAGTTTGTTGAAAGAAGAATATCTCTGAAGAATATCCTGTCGGGGCGTAACTGCTACAAGGACGTTTTCCTCGCTTAGTTTTAAATTATCAGTTGGCATATTTGGTTTTATCTTAGGCCACTGATCCTCCTGGGTGAGCCATGTAGGGCCATTCCACCACAAGCTACTTGATTTCAGCTGATCTACTGTAGTTCCTCTTGACAGCATGTCTGCAGGATTCTGGGCCGAAGGTACATGATGCCATTTTGCTTCTGGCACGAGCTCATGTATTTCCGTGACTCGATTGGCATAATATGTCTTTAACTTGTGAGGAAACGTGTCTATCCAACGGAGCACTATAGTAGAGTCACTCCATAGATGTACTTCCTTTATTGGATGCTTTATAGCTCTTATTACAGCTGCGATCAAACGAGCTAGTACAAGTGCCGCGCATAGCTCTAGTTTAGGTAACGAAATTATCTTTAAAGGTGCTACCTTTGATTTGGAACACACGAGATAAGATTTGCGTTGCCCCTCTTTCGATTCATAGACACAGTAGATACTAGCGCCGTAAGCTTTTTCAGAGGCGTCTCCAAATCCATGAAGCGTAAATGATTGCTTACCGTTTTGTGGATTGAAGCTTCTGGGTATCCGAATCTGATTAAGAGCTTCAAGTGAAGCATAATACTTAATCCATGTTTCGTAAAAGGCTGGTGGAACCGGATCATCCCAGCCAATATCTAGCTTCCATAAATTCTGCATAATTATCTTGGCTACGATCAACACAGGACCTATTAATCCTAACGGGTCATATATCTTGGCAATTTGCGATAGAATAAGGCGTTTAGTATTTTGCTTACTGTCCGTCAGACTTACTGAATATTGTATCTGGTCATTGGATGAGTCCCATAATAACCCGAGCGTCTTTGAAGGCACCGTATCATCCAAAACCATCATGGAATCTTTCTCGATACTTCCGGAGAGACCCTGTACGATTCTTGGGTCACTTGCTCTCCACTTCCTAAGCGTAAATCCTGCTGCTTCAAGTAACTCTGATAACTCACTCCTTAGTTTGATCGCTTGTTTCAATGTGTGACCACCTGTTAGTACATCGTCCATATAAAAGTCTTGAAGTAATGCTGCTGCTGCTGCCTTCCGCGTTCTTGCTTCCTGTTGGGTTGCTAGATGTCTTAAACAACGCATGGCTAAAAAAGGTGCGCAAGTAGTTCCATATGTTACGGTATTCAATGAATAGACCTGCATCGATTCTGCGTGGTCGTATCGCCAAATAATCCTCTGAAGATCCCTGTCTTCTTCGGCTATCCAAATTTGTCTGAACATCATTTTAATATCTGCCGTCATCATATACTGATGCTCTCTGAATCTAATTGTCTGAACATCATTTTAATATCTGCCGTCATCACATACTGATGCTCTCTGAATCTAATCATAATTTCCCATAAGTCTATCTGAAGATTGGCTCCGCTTAACAATTTCTGATTTAAAGATGAACCTGTTGATGTCTTCGATGATCCATCGAAAACTACTCGTAATTTCGTCGTTAAGCTTGTTGTCCTGATCACTGGTTGGCGGAAGATAAAAATACTCCTTTTTTGGTATGTGACTCAGCTGTTTGACTATGGACATATGATTCATTTCTTCATACTCTTTCATGAATCTATGATAGTCTGCTTTCAACTCCGGTTGCTGATTCAATTTCCTTTCTGTCGCTAAGAATCTCTTGATTGCCATGTTCTCAGAATCGCCTAGTATGATGGACTCGTCTCTCGGCATACGCACAATATATCTGCCCTCTTGATCTCTTCGCACGGTATGCAAAAACAGATCTTCCGCTAATCGTTCCTGTGGTGTATATGAATCCTCTCGTGGGCGAGTCGGGACTTCCTCTATGCTCCAGAACCTTTGCAGCTGCTCATCTAGATTCATAGTTGCTATATTACAAACTCGTTTGTTGTTCAATACTTTTGGATTTATTAGTTCACCTCCTATTATCCACCCTAGCTGTGTTTCTTGAAGCCTAGGCAATGAATCGCTTAACTTTCTTTGTCCGGTGTTCATTAATAGCCAAAAGTGACTGCTTCCTATAAGGATGTCTATTGTTTCTGGTAGATTAAAGCTTGGATCCGCCAAATTCAAATCTTCTGGAATGTCCCAGTTATGCGTATTAACTTTGACGTGTGGCATCCTCTCCGTTATAGTTGGCATTATCAGACAATCTAATTCTGTTGAAAACTCATTATGCATCGACTTGATTCGAATACTAGTTGATTCTTTTACTGTAATTTGAGTTTGACTTATACCGCTGATGGGCACGTTAACTTTGTTTCCCTTTAACTGCAATTTTCTCGCTAAGTCTTTTGTGATGATGTTACTTTGTGAACCTGGATCCAACATGGCTCGACAGACTCTCAAATTTCCTTCATTGTCCATAACATATATTTTAGCTGTAGCTATAAAAACGATAGATTCTGTTAGTCGCATTGTATGTACTATCACTGCTGTTCCGTTACTTGATGCCTCTGAATTCGCTCTTAATTCCTTTGAAAAACCTACTGTGCTTGATTCGTCTCTGGCGCTCATCACCGTCGTGTTCTTGTTTTCTATCTGTTCTCCTGTTTCCATATGCAAAATCGTGTTATGTTTTCTCGAACATACCTTACAGGTAGATGCTGTACACGCTTGAATATAATGACCTTTTCGCAAACAGTTAAAACATAGCTGTCGCTTTTTTACTTCTTCTCTCCTTTCTGGCACGGACATCTTCTGAAGCTTTTCACATTTCGATACATGATGTTGACCTTCGCAGATGACACATGCTGCTTGTGGTATAGCTGCCACATTTACTTTCTTGCCTGCTTTCTTGAGTGCATTATACTTTGCATGCTCTTGTTTGTTCTTTGACCCTTCTACTAATTCCAATGTATGAGCTCTAGTTGTTAAAAACTCTAACAACGCTTCTAAAGATGGCATACTATCTGTATCTCTCTTACCTATTTCTAATTCCCAGTCTTTTCTTGTTGTGTAATCCAGCTTGTCGCTCAATAAATAAATGAGAATGGTATCCCAGTGTGCTATAGGCTGCTTCAATGCTTCCAACGCTCTGACATGAGTTCTGATAGAATCGATGTAAGTTCTCAATGCTGTGTGACTACCCTTGTTTACAGTCTGCAATTCAAAAAGCTCTTTTATATGTGTACTAATTATTAACTTTTTATTTTCATATCTTTCTTTGATCAGTCGCCATGCTATCTCGTAGTTCTCATCCGTTGTCTCTAAGGTATGTATTACTTGCAAAGCCTCCCCTGTTAAGGAGCTACAAAGATATTGAAACTTTTGAATACGTGTCAATCTGACATTGGAATCTATAACCGACGTGAAAGTATCCTTGTACATTAGCCACTGGTCGTAGCTGCCATTGAATTTTGGAAGTTGAAGAGTAGGTAATTTTACAGTAAGATTGTTTACCTGCTGTTCTTGTTGATGAACTGCAACATTTGTTTGTTCCGCCTCTACTAACCGCTTCGCTTTTACTAAGTATTCAAAATAAACATCCTCGACTGATTGCCTCTCCCGCGCTATCTCTGCATCTAACGCTTGCAATTCTTCCTGAGACGGCGGTGGAATTTTCTCTATTGCTGCTTCTAATTTTACTTCTGCAATCTGCGATTGAATCTCATTGTACGTACCGAATAGCTCTTCTGCATGATCTCTAATCCTGTCTGGTAACTGTTCTCTACGCTCTTCTCCATGATCTCTAACGAACTTGACGAACTGCGTGAGTTGTCCTTTCACATTTGTTCTTTTCGCTCTTAACTTGTTAAGATTCTCCATGCTCTCGATATATATTGCTTAAAAATGCGTGAATATGCCGCGGACGTTTGCCTTGCGAACGACCGGCCAACTAACCTCTTTTAATGTTGCAACAACGTTTCTGCTTATTCGCTGTATTCGATAGTCCGATTAATTGACTACCAATCCGGCTCGAAGGACCATATTATGTTTATGAATTAACTCTCTCCGAGATAGTTTTTGCTATTTTAATGCTTTATTTGATACGAATTGTATGCTCACAAAAATGCTTACAAAAGAAATGCTTTCTATCTTTCGGCCTGCTCCCGAACACACACGAAAGGATCCGATCCCCCTCTCTGGCCGTATTAATCTTACGAAACTCAAAAGTGAAGCGCTACGGTATAGCGGAGATAACGTACAACGAACATAAAGCTTTTACAGTATGTATTGAGTTTTATGTATGTATTGAGTTTTATGTATTGAGTTTTAGGTATGTATGTATGTATTCAGTTTTATGTATTTTATACTTATACTTTAATTCATATATATGTATTTTATACTTATACCTTAATTTATATATATGTATTTTATACTTATGCTTTAATTCTTATATATGTATTTCTTAATATGTATTATTATATTGAGTTTTTATATATGTATTGAGTTTTTATAGTTTTATGTATTTTTATACGTTTTTAAATTGTATGTCTTAATATACATTTACTTTTACTTATACCTATACTTATACCTATACTTATACCTATACTTATAGCTATACTTATACTGTACGTATATATGTATTGAGTTTTAGGTATGTATGTATCGAGTTTTATGTATTGAGTTTTATGTATTTTATAGGTTTTTAAATTGTATTTCTTAATATGTACTTTATACGTTTTTAAATTGTATTTCTTAATATGTATTTTACTTATACTTATACTGTACGTATATATGTATTGAGTTTTAGGTATATATTGAGTTTATGTATGTTCTTTTATACGTTTTTTAAATGTATCTTTATACTTCGCATTTATTGTACTCGCGTAATGTTATAGTATTTGATATATATATATATGTTAAAAATAATTACATGTATGTATGTGAAGGAATAAATAAAGATTAACAATGATATTCTTACACTTTTATATATTTTTTATATGAATAAAAAAAATTAATTCAAACGACATCGTTTTTATTTATCCATGAATTGTGCGATCCATCGAATCCCAGCCACTTGACGTACACCTTGTCTCCTTTCTTACGCAGTACTTTCTCCACGAGATACACGTCGGGATTAGCGACGCGACGCAACTCGTGCTCGTAGAATCCTCCGGCGACCGGTTTTCCGCGGTAATCTTCCAGAAGATACATCACGGGATTAGTTTCCTGTACTTTGACGATTCGAAACACCTCCATGGTCCAATTTGACGTGTAACCCTTCTCAAAGATCGTCTTGTACTTGCTCACGCGTACCGCGTCGCCTACTTTAAATTTTGCGGGACCAGCGATCTTTATCGCGCTGTACACCGTGTTCAAGAGTCTTTCGGCGATAGCGGGAGTAACGTCAGAAGGTCGCATGCCGATGGTGCGATGCTTGCGCGTTGTAATCCGACACGAGACGCGGCAACGTGTCGACCTCACTTGTAATTGCCGTTGAGCGTAAACATCTTCCACATGTCGTTCTTAAGCGTGCGATTGAACCGCTCGACCACCGACGCTTTCAACGTCGAATACGTGGAATAATGATTAACGTCGTGCTTTTTCAAGACTTTCCGCACATCGGCGTTGTAAAACTCCTTTCCCATATCCGTTTGCAGATTCTTCGGACATCTTCCGCTCTCTCGAATTATTTCAACGATAGCGTCAGCGGTCTTGCTTCCGCCCTTGCTCTTGAGCGGCACGGCCCACGCGTACTTGCTCAACACATCGATGACGGTGAGTATGTAGTGACGACCCCTGTTGTAACTCGAGTACGGTCGCATCTCAACGATATCAGCCTGCCACAGATCGTCGTATCCTCGTACTATGATGCGTCTTCGTGGAAAATTTCTTCTCGCCGGAGCGTGCAGTTCCTCGACGAGCCTGCGTCTCTCGGAGCTGACTCTTTTTTCTTTCATGATTCGTCGTGAAAAAAAAAATATAGGAATAATACTTTATTCGATGACACCAATCGGCTGATTCGTTTCGTCGATACGCGATTTAATTTATAATAAGACCGGCTTCGCGAAGTTCCTCGATGATCGACAGCATCTCGTTGCCGTGAGCGGTGTTGCCCGCTCGTTGCGAAGCGTCGAGCAACCGTAGACGATCCACCAACTCGTTGGGATCGTCCCAGTGCACGTACTCGATCGCGTCGTCGTTTAGCGTCATGGCGCGAGGTAACCCTTTTCCAGATTTTTTCTTAGGTGTGACCAACGGCTTGATTATGTTCTTGTACTTATATCTGCTGTTGGCCAGTACTCGACCCTGCGAATGGTGCTTGTGCTTATGCGCGTTCGTCGCCTGCAGCATTCTCTTGTACTCGCGCATATCTTCCTCCGTTTGAAGCGTATCGTCGGGAATTCTCTTGAAAATCAGCTCGTAAAGGCCGGGTGTACCGGCGTACCGTACGCCGTCGATAATTATGTTATCCGCGTCATCCACGTCGAAACGCTTATTGCCGAGCATCAATCCGTCCTTGTCCAAGTAAGCGTCGTACACGCGATCCATACCGCTCTCATTATGTCCTCGTAGGACAGGCTCAACGTACTATAGACTCAGCGGGCCCATATAAATTCGTGATTTTTCTCGGTTCTCCGATGAATCATTCTGATCAGGTATCGCGAGCGTCGCGTACATCGTTTCGGAAACGTCGTCGGATGACTCCGACGGTTGGGCAGGTGCATGCGGTGTGAAGGTTATCGGCTCGAGCGTTCGATCGAATAAATGCGTGCGCGGAGTAACGAAGAAATCTCCCGCATCCTCCTCCTCCTCCTCATCCTTCTTCTCCATTCTCTTGCGTTTAGGGGTAGCGTCAGGCGACTCTGTCTTTATCGCGCGCACGATGGGACTACTGTCTGCGATCTGTCGCAACAGTTCAACGATAGGCTTGAAACGCCTGTCCAGCGCAATGTCCTCGTCGATTCTACCGGTCTTCAGAGCCCGTTGTTTCTTGCGGATCGACTCGCTCGTCCTCTCAATCTCCCTCGCGATTTTTTCACGCTCTCGCACGTTAGACATGTTAGTCGAAGTACGGACGATGACTGACAGCGTTACGGTATCGCGAACTCGTTAAATCCTGTTCTGTATCTCCCTTTTGTAAGCGCACTGTCCTTGTCTATTACTACGAATCCATATTTTTGTTGCCAACATTTGTGACACAACGCGCAAAATTCGTCGTACGACATGTCGGTATTCACATGATCGTTGTAAACGTGTTTCAAGTTGGTACCATCCTGCTTGAACAGGATTAGCAGATTCGCGTTGTCGCGTATCAGATGTTTAGGTATCCTCGCGTACGTCTGACAGACATAGAAGCAGTCGACGTTCGCGTGGTGACCCATCGAAAAGTACTCTCGCACCGCGTTCTGTTTGTCACATGCCACACGTCGTCGAAGATAAAGATAGAATTCGGTAGCGCCTCGTTCGGTGGAACGACATCGCTGTTGTTGGAGAACGTAAAGTAGCCGATTTCGTCGATGGACGTCAACAATTTTTCAAGATATCGATACTTTGGCTGTTGCAGCGATTTCGAGTAGACGTACACGTTTTCGAAACGTACGCCGTTGGGGCTCTCGAACAAGCTTATCAGCACGTTCGTCTTGCCGCAGTTTGACGGACCGCAGACGATCGCGCGTATAGTATTCGGTAGCATTTGACCGTGCTTACGCTTATTCACGTCGTCCCGCATCGTTTGCAATTTCGCGTCACAATTCATGACGCGTATCGTCAGTGGACACTGCACAAATTTCATACTCGCACTGTAAACTATCCGCAGTCTCCGACGCCTATTTATAGGCGCGCGAATCCGCGAATCGGGCAGTAGCAAAATGTATTTCGCGCTGCATCATCGTTCTTCCGACATTCGAGAATTGAACGCTGAGCAGTTGCAGTATATACCGAAGATCGTACTGTTACAAGTGTACGGCGATTATATCGATCACGTGTGGGACAGGCTTCCGGAACACGTAAAGACGGATTCGGAGGTTCAACGGTACCGTCGGTGTCTGAAGCACTACAATTTGAAGAGTCAGCAAACGCACATCGACGGTCCGCCGCCTCTGATAAAGAATTGCGGCGAATGTCAGCGAAGAGCTTGTTGAATCGGACGATAAACGCGCTTCCTTTAGAGTTACATATTCCAGGCTACCAGTTTTGCGGCCCCGGCGCTCGACTGAAGAAACGATTAGCCAGAGGCGACGCGGGTGTGAATCCACTGGACGCGGCGTGTCGCGAGCACGACATTGCGTATTCTCGGAGCAACGATCTCACCGATAGACACGCGGCGGACGAGGTACTCGCCGAGGAGGCGCGGAAACGCGTTACCGCGAGAGATTTGGCTCTGGGTGAGAGAGTTGCCGCTGCTGCTATCTGGGCAGCGATGAAAGCCAAGACCAAGATCGGCATGGGCATGAAGAAGAAGAAGACGACGAAGGGGGCGGGAAAAAAAAGACGACGAAAAAACGGATTCTTCCGACCGCGAAACGAGGCGGCATGTTGCCGATTCTGCCAATGTTGGGCGCCCTCGGATCCCTGATCGGCGGAGCGGCCGGCGTGGCGAAAGCGGTAAACGACAGCAAAGCCGCGCGGCGTCAGCTCGAGGAGCTGCAACGTCACGATCGCGCGATGGAACAGGGACGCGGACTGTATCTCGCTCCGTACAGATACGGACGCGGGCTGTATCTCGGTCCATACAAACGCGGACAGGGTATGAAAAGAAAAAAAAAAACGTCGAAAAAACGATAAAAATGCCCACGGGCGCAACCACCAACGTGCAACTGCTACAACTTGCAAAACGTATGCGCGTACCGTACTTTAGAGGAGTTTTCATGCGTAACGCGTTACCGATGAGCGGCGCGCGCCGAAACGAAAGCGGTATCGTGAATCTGGACGATGCGACAGGTCCCGGTACTCACTGGGTAGCGTACGCGAAGAGGAACAATCGCGTCGTGTACTTTGACAGTTTCGGCAATCTCCGACCGCCCGAGGAACTCGTGCGATATTTCGGCGTTACGACTACGATAGAGTACAATCGAACGTCCTATCAGACGTACGATCAGAACTTTTGCGGACAGATGTGCCTGCGGTTTCTACAAACGGTCGAATTTTAAAAAGCTCGACGAGGCGTCGTGTGATTTCAGTGCTCGTCGAACCACCATGTCGTTGACACTTACGCTAAGCGGGAAGAACAGCGTTCTCGCGGCAAGCTACTTTCTCGCGATAGACTTGAGCGACGACGACTACGAGCTCGGTCTGACGATTTTCGAGACCTATCACACGATAACGAACGTGAACGATTTGAACAATAAATTTCATTTTGGAAACGATGACGAGGAAATTATGATCCCCAAGGGTTCGTACGAACTACAAGCCATAAATGAATTTCTGAAACTCGCGATCTCGCGGAAACGTCCGCAAAGCGACATGGTCGATATCGTTGACTTGGTGCGTGGAGACGTACCTCCCGATGACAACGACGACGACTTGCATGGAGAGTATCCGATAGCGCTCCGCGCAAACTACAACACGATGAAGTGCAATATTATATGCGCCTTCAGAGTAAACTTTGACAAACCAAACAGCATCGGATCGCTGCTGGGATTCTCATCGAAGCGTGTATTACGACCGCGAAAATGGCACGAGTCGGACGCGTCGGTCAACATAATGAACGTAAACGTTATCCGCGTAGAGTGTAACGTAACCACCGGCGCGTACAGCAACGGTAACAGCGCGCACACGATACACGAATTTTCACCGCAAGTGCCACCGGGATATAAGATATCGGAAAGGCCGACACAGATCATTTATCTTCCGATCATCGCACGGAGCATTACGAATCTAACGATACGCATCGTCGATCAAAACGGGCGGTTGCTCGATTTTCGCGGAGAAGAGATCACCGTCAGATTGCACGTGCGACGGCGACAGCGATAACGCGCGCGCGTGAGATGCTCGTGTTGAACCAGCAGACAGATAACGTATCCTTCGCGCCGCTCGACAGTACTCGCTCATCCGAACGCATCGAAAAGAGGAACAAGAGGCTCAGTGCATCGAACGTTGAGTTTTTAAAATCTCTGGGATTCGCGGTGCGCAACTTTTGAAAAAGATGACCGACATTCTAAACGTCAAGGACGAGCCAGTCTTCGACGATCGCATCGTCAAGATCGAGACTCACACGTACAACCCGTTCGCCAACACGACGTTTGGACACAGCGATGAGATACGAATACCAATACAACAACAAGATCTGTACACGCTGCCGTATGAAAGTTTTCTGTACATCGAAGGAAAATTGGCAAAGACCAAAGTGGTACCGAACGCCGACGTGGCACTGGGAAATAATTGCGTCGCTTTCATGTTCGATGAGATTCGCTACGAAC